TTATATGAAATAGATATTTAGATATATTTAATAGATATTTAGATATATTTAATAGATATTTAGATATATTTAATAGATATTTAGATATATTTAATAGATATTTAGATATATTTAATAGATATTTAGATATATTTAGTAGATATTTAGATATATTTAATAGATATTTAGATATATTTAGTAGATATTTAGATATATTTAATAGATATTTAGATATATTTAATAGATATTTAGATATATTTAATAGATATTTAGATATATTTAATAGATATTTAGATATATTTAATAGATATTTAGATATATTTAATAGATATTTAGATATATTTAATATATATTTAGATATATTTAATAGATATTTAGATATATTTAATAGATATTTAGATATATTTAATAGATATTTAGATATATTTAATAGATATTTAGATATTTAATAGATATTTAGATATATTTAATACTGGATAATCACATATTTTTTGCGGAATATTTTATTATACTGATCAATAGGATTTATTCGTTCTGTGATGTGGAATAACTTAAATAAAATATTATTTTAATCATCTGGCCGTTTTAGTGGATGAAATTTATTGTTGAATTCGTGTTTTATTTGCTAATAAAATATATCAGCTTCAAAATGAAACTCATTTTGCTTTTATTATAGAGGGGGAGTAAATGGTATATTGGCAGCACGGGTTATATATACTGAGAGGTGTATATCTATCAGTGTATATACACTGAGAATCAACTTTAACCCCTATTTTAGGTATTAAAGTATTCTTGACTGGTAGTGGACAGGTACCATGTTGACTTAATGGCCGTCGTGTAGTAGACAGCCTTTAAACCTCCTCTAAACAACCAATAAACCACTAGTAACAAGGTTATTATTACATATACATGTTTGCCAAATGTATGGATACTGTTGTTGTTATGGATATACATATATATAGATTTTTAATAATGACGACAAGATATTATTAATTATTTCAGTTCACACATCAAAATGTCTGTCTGTGGGACCCACAAAACTGTAAACAATTTTTTTTTAACTTAGAGAAGAAACTGATAAATCTGTATGAATATTTTTTTCTCAAAGTGAATATGATGATAGTACATCTGAAAAAAAAATTTTTCATTGACAGGTCTGTCTGAGCATTTATCTCATAGTAAAAGAATGATAGGTCTGTCTGAGCATTTATCTCATAGTAAAAGAATGATAGGTCTGTCTGAGCATTTATCTCACAGTAAAAGAATGATAGGTCTGTCTGAGCATTTATCTCATAGTAAAAGAATGATAGGTCTGTCTGAGCATTTATCTCATAGTAAAAGAATGATAGGTCTGTCTGAGCATTTATCTCATAGTAAAAGAATGACAGGTCTGTCTGAGCATTTATTCTCATAGTAAAAGAATGATAGGTCTGTCTGAGCATTTATCTCATAGTAAAAGAATGATAGGTCTGTCTGAGCATTTATCTCATAGTAAAAGAATGATAGGTCTGTCTGAGCATTTATCTCATAGTAAAAGAATGACAGGTCTGTCTGAGCATTTATCTCATAGTAAAAGAATGATAGGTCTGTCTGAGCATTTATCTCATAGTAAAAGAATGATAGGTCTGTCTGAGCATTTATCTCATAGTAAAAGAATGATAGGTCTGTCTGAGCATTTATCTCATAGTAAAAGAATGATAGGTCTGTCTGAGCATTTATCTCATAGTAAAAGAATGACAGGTCTGTCTGAGCATTTATCTCATAGTAAAAGAATGATAGGTCTGTCTGAGCATTTTATCTCATAGTAAAAGAATGATAGGTCTGTCTGAGCATTTATCTCATAGTAAAAGAATGATAGGTCTGTCTGAGCATTTATCTCATAGTAAAAGAATGATAGGTCTGTCTGAGCATTTATCTCATAGTAAAAGAATGATAGGTCTGTCTGAGCATTTATCTCACAGCAAAAGAATGATAGGTCTTTCTGAGCATTTATCTCATAGTAAAAGAATGATAGGTCTGTCTGAGCATTTATCTCATAGTAAAAGAATGATAGGTCTGTCTGAGCATTTATCTCATAGTAAAAGAATGCTAGGTCTGTCTGAGCATTTATCTCATAGTAAAAGAATGATAGGTCTGTCTGAGCATTTATCTCATAGCAAAAGAATGATAGGTCTGTCTGAGCATTTATCTCATAGCAAAAAAACTGCACAGGTCAGCATGAGAATCTTACTCAAGGCAGACAAATTTCTGAGAATCCTGCATGAGTGAGCATCCCAAAGCAGTCATAAACACGTGAAGAAAGATTTGCGATAAAGAAACAAAAACTCTTCTTTACCTCTTACGCATCCTGATTTTCCCGATCACCAGGAGCATCGTCCTCTAGAGCAGACAATACCTAGCATACACATTTACCTGGTCAAAAACATACACTATGTTCCGAGCGGCGGGGAGCTGGCCGTAGGCCACTCCCGAGGTTATAGTCTGGTCGGCTTTAGTAACACCTTGTGTTTCCTTTCTGCAGCCGTCTGGCAGTAGGAAATAGAGACAGGTAAGGGTCCTTTTAACCGCCTGCTTGCCTGTCTTGTGCTTAGAACCAGATTTCGCAAGCCTGATGCTTGACCCCATTATAGGAGGGTAGAACTTTAAATAATAGACTTATTCTCTAACCTTTTAGAACTTAGCTCGTGTATATATATATATATATATATATATATATATATATATATTATATATATATATATATATATATATATATATATATATATATATATATATATATGCCCCGGTATATTAGAGCTCTTGCCTGGCATCATAATTATTAGTTCTCTCTTTTTCCTTTTTATAACTTCTATTAATTGTATAAGTACATTTATTTTTATACTAACATCTGCGTACGGAAGTTGTATTATATGTATTATATCATAATATATTTTAATATATTATGGTATATTACAATAAAAAATGCACCATTTTATGGTATATTATAGAATATTATAATATGTCAGAGTATATTATTGTAGTGCTCTTTTATTTAAAAGCTAATCTTAGCTGTATTTGCAAAAAGATTATAAAATAGTGTGACTGCATCGTCCTTAATAATTTTGAATATATATATGATAGGAAACCATTCTGAAGGGACTAGTATCAATGCTCAGTATCACAAGGCTTGTTCATTATGACTGAGATATCAGACCTCCATTGATACGACAACGATTGACTTGACTCTAGAAAGTTTGAGAGGCATTATTTTCAGCTGTTAGAACGCTGTCGTCCAGTCTCTCCTTGGCAAGTGGTTTATTGCCCTGTGCGAAAACAATCTTGGTGAAACTGTCAGTCAGGTAAGTTAAAATCTGGAGTAGGTGATTAAACATAAGCCGCTGATTAATATAGGAAGGAGTCTCCATGTAGTCATGAAGGGGAACATATTTGAACACATTAGCACTATAGTCACCACTGCCAGTGTTCATCAGAGGCTTACTCACCAGCAATCTTGGTGCAACATAAGAGTGGTCAATATAGCCACTCAGTTCTTATATCCTTCTATTTCTCCACCATCCCATGCTGATAATGTGATAATATATGCGTTGGAGAAACTGTGAGGAACCTGTCGACCAGGCTTTGCGAAGACAAGTATGCATGGAGTAGGGAAGACCACAACAATGCTTGCATTGTCCACGAGAACACCGTAAACAATTTTAGGAGACTAAGAGACTCACTGCTAGTCTTCGCCGAGCTTAAAATGAGAAAGCCTCAGTGCTTCGAGTCTCCCACTTATCGCTGCTTCTAATACTAGGATATAGGAAAACAGATGAGTATAGTAGCATCTTTGTAATTCTAAACCACATCATTTTTGACCACACAACGCCACGCTTACAGGAAAACTTGATCTGACATCTACTTACACCTGACCTGACATCTACGTATATCTCTCCTGACGTTTCTTGCCTCACCAGCTACATATGCAATATATTTTTTTAATGTTGGTGCTAATATAATTGTAGGTATATTGCAACAGTCTCAGAGGAACTATCAATAATGCACAGCAGCCACTAGGACGGAGAAAATAATGTTGCTTTAGGCCTTTCGCATTGGTACTGCAAATGTTTCTTCAGGAGCATTACAATTAGAATGGAATGCAGGTGAGCACAATCAGGTGTGTCCTGAGATACAGTCCAGCCAATCTGGTGCATTCCTGGCTGGACACCCTCTCTGGGCATACCTGCTTTGCCTCTCATGGATGCCATTCCTTTCATTGCATTACTCCTGAAGAAGCGTTTCCAGTTGTTTCGCGAAAGGCCTAAAGCAACATTATTCTCCTCCCTAATGATTGTGCAATATATATATATATATATATATATATATATATATATATATATATATATATATATATATATATATATATATATAATATAGATATATATATATATATATATATATATATATATATATATATATATATATATATATATATATATATATATATATAACTTCAGTAATGATTGAGATGATTGAACACTTTAACGACTGCAACATCATGTCAACAATGAGCAGTCAGGTGTTTGACTGACTCAGAACTCTAGGGAAATTATTGAAAATATGATGATGGCAAAAAACATTGAATATTTTTTCCACACTGTAATTGGCTAAAAGTTTTTTCATTCTTCTTTTCTATCAACAGTCACAAAAACACAGCTGAAAGAAGTTTTTTTTTTTTTAAGATGATTTCAGTATATGTTACACATTAATTTTTACGTTATTGTTATTATTATTATTATTATCAATATTATTGTTATTATTATTATCATTATTATTATTATTGTTGTTGTTGTTGTTGTTGTTGTATTATATTACATAATAAGTTGTAAAGGGACGTACAACGACCGGGGACTGAGTAGTATTGAGAGTTGATAAAGAGAAACCAGAATATCTCAAAGTCAAAGTTTACGTAGTGACCAACCTCATCAGAGAACCTTTTACCTGTAATGCTTAAAAAAATGTATTGGAAATACTTCAGATAATTTGATAGCTATTATGTTTCGAGTAGAATTTAGAGGCGATGATAATTTGCTCAAGTTTGGTCTCCAGAGCTGCTCCCATCTCAGTATTATTTTGAATTGTAAAAATGGTAAATTTTAGGCTTGTTACGCGTCTCCAATAATAGTGAAGAGTGGACATTCCTACACTGATTTCGAGACTCTCTTTGCCTGTCTTCTCCAGGACAACAAGAACAACAACAATAATACTAATAATACTAATAATAATAATAATAATAATAATAATAATAATAATAATAATAATAATAATAATAATAATAATAATAATATAAATAATAATATAATTATTATTATCATTATTATCATTATTATTATTATTATTATTATTATTATTATTATTATTATTATTATTATTATTATTATTATTATTATTACTATCATTAGTAGTAGTAGTAGTATTATAATAATAATAACACATGTTAAGCGCTAAACCCATGTGAGACATTCAGTGCAAGACTTGAAGGAGCCTTGATCCTCCGTCCACTGAACGAGAGGAAGACGTGATTCCTGTTTGTACTCACCTAGATGTCTCATGTTCTCCCGGAATAGAATGCAGACCACTGGCTGCCCATGACACTCCAGAAGTAGAGTACAGACCACTGGCTGCCTCTGACACTCCAGGAGAAGTAGAGTACAGACCACTGGCTGCCCATGACACTCCAGAAGTAGAGTACAGACCACTGGCTGCCTCTGACACTCCAGGAGAAGTAGAGTACAGACCACTGGCTGCCCATGACACTCCAGAAGTAGAGTACAGACCACTGGCTGCCTCTGACACTCCAGGAGAAGTAGAGTACAGACCACTGGCTGCCCATGACACTCCAGAAGTAGAGTACAGACCACTGGCTGCCTCTGACACTCCAGGAGAAGTAGAGTACAGACCACTGGCTGCCCATGACACTCCAGAAGTAGAGTACAGACCACTGGCTGCCTCTGACACTCCAGGAGAAGTAGAGTACAGACCACTGGCTGCCCATGACACTCCAGAAGTAGAGTACAGACCACTGGCTGCCTCTGACACTCCAGGAGAAGTAGAGTACAGACCACTGGCTGCCCATGACACTCCAGAAGTAGAGTACAGACCACTGGCTGCCTCTGACACTCCAGGAGAAGTAGAGTACAGACCACTGGCTGCCCATGACACTCCAGAAGTAGAGTACAGACCACTGGCTGCCTCTGACACTCCAGGAGAAGTAGAGTACAGACCACTGGCTGCCTCTGACACTCCAGAAGTAGAGTACAGACCACTGGCTGCCTCTGACACTCCAGGAGAAGTAGAGTACAGACCACTGGCTGCCCATGACACTCCAGAAGTAGAGTACAGACCACTGGCTGCCTCTGACACTCCAGGAGAAGTAGAGTACAGACCACTGGCTGCCTCTGACACTCCAGAAGTAGAGTACAGACCACTGGCTGCCTCTGACACTCCAGGAGAAGCAGAGTACAGATCACTGGCTGCAATGGCACTCCAGGAGAGGTACAGTACATACCACTGGCTGCCTCTGATACTCCAGGAGAGGTAGAGTACAGACAACTGGCTGCCCCTGACACTCCAGGAGAAGTAGAGTACAGACCACTGGCTGCCCCTGACACTCCAGAAGTAGAGTACAGATCACTGGCTGCCCCTGACACTCCAGAAGTAGAGTACAGACCACTGTCTGTCCCTGACACTCCAGGAGAAGCAGAGTACAGATCACTGGCTGCAATGGCACTCCAGGAGAAGTAGAGTACAGAGCACTGGCTGCCCCTGGCACTCCAGGAGAAGTAGAGTACAGATCACTGGCTGTCCCTGACACTCCTGGAGAAGAAGAGTACAGATCACTGGCTGCCCCTGACACTCCAGGAGAAGTAGAGTACAGACCACTGGCTGTCCCTGACACTCCAGGAGAAGTAGAGTACAGACCACTTGCTGACGCTGACACTCGAGAAGAAGTAGAGTACAGACCACTGGCTATCCCTGGCACTCAAGGAGAAGTAGAGTACAGATCACTGGCTGTCCCTGACACTCCAGGAGAAGTAGAGTACAGATCACTGGCTGCCCTGACACTCCAAGAGAAGTAGAGTACATACCACCGGCTGTCCCTGACACTCCAGGAGAAGAGTACAGATCATTGGCTGTTCCTGACACTCCAGGAGAAGAAGAGTACAGATCACTGGCTGTCCCTGACACTCCAGGAGAAGTAGAGTACAGATCACTGGCTGTCCTTGACACTCCAGGAGAAGTAGAGTACAGATCACTGGCTGTCCCTGACACTCCAGGAGAAGTAGAGTACAGACCACTGGCTGTCCCTGACACTCCAGGAGAAGAAGAGTACAGATCACTGGCTGTCCCTGACACTCCAGGAGAAGTAGAGTACAGATCACTGGCTGTCCCTGACACTCCAAGAGAAGTAGAGTACAGATCACTGGCTGCTCCTGACACTCCAGGAGAAGTAGAGTACAGATCACTGGCTGTCCCTGACACTCCAAGAGAAGTAGAGTACAGATCACTGGC